ACTCAGGTGCATATTAATATTTGTTGGTTTCCCATTTATTTTTCTCCCCATATTCCACAATTTCTTCATTGATGTATCAGTGTCAAGTTTTGATATATATTTATTTTCATGATTCTCTTTATATAAGTTTTAAAGATGCACTGTGCCTTTCCACAAGTTTTTGATAGTTCTGTAGGTTAATTTTTGTTAGTTGAAAATGTTTCTTTTTGGTATTCAATGGCTTCTCTGCATTTAGTTGTTAACCAAAGTTTGTGCTTGACTTGTGATTTGACTAAGGATTTACAGATTGTTTGTTTTGCTATTTGGATTAATAAATTTGTGAAATAGGTCAGTGGGTTTGGTTCTTAGAATATTTTATTGGTAATTAAGGATTGACAGATGTCTGTCAGTTTTCCTTATGGAGTTGCCATTTAGAAAGACTCTCCTCTGGCATTGGTTTATTGGAGTCAATGAAAATAGGAGTGTGTTCACTCCCACATTGATCTTTACAGAGTCTCCATTGGAAATCCATGAAGGATGAGGGGGAGCAAATTGATAGATTTAGGACTGGCATAGAACCAGAAGCTGGATGGAGATAAGTGTAGGATTTGTCATTCAATAAACATAAGTCATATGTATTAGATTTTCAATGATATGGCCAATTGGGTTGGAGTTTTTGCAACCCCAAAGCTCACTATAAGCATTAAAGTCTCCAACCAATAAGAAAGGAGTGGATAACTGGTCAATTAGTTTATTAATTTCAGTTTGTCCTTATTTATATCTTGGTGGGATATATAGTTAACATATTGTTAATCAACAAGGAAGAGTGGTTTGTGTTCAATCTCATGTGGGGTGGTACTTTTTACTAATATTGAGGTACCACCAATTGATCTATAGTCTATGTCTGACCTAGATGTTTTATTATAGCTATTATATATTTTTAAATATAGATTGTTGGATTCTTTTTGCATTTTTTCTTGGAAGTAGATTAGAATTGGATTATAGTCTGCCATCAGTTATTTGATGTCTTCATAATTTGCACTAATTCCCTTATAGTTCCATTGCAAAATGGTGGCACTATAGGTCATGTTTATTCTGTTTTGGCTTTGTAGATGGAGGACCATCTTGTGTTTCCATTTGCTTTCAAATTTGCTAAATTTGCTTTCATAGTTATCAATATCCATGTGATCCATGGTATTTGAACTATTTCTAGGTTTGTTTTATTTTGAGTTTTCTCCTGTTTGTTGTTTAAGTCTTGTTTGGTATTTTGTTTAACATTAGATGTTTCTGTTTTTTGTTTTTCTTTTTTGGTGTCATTACTTAGTTGAGATTTAGAATTTTGGAGTTTTTGATTTTCTCTGATTCCAATGACTCAAATTGATTTTGTATTAGAATTTCTTGTATTTTTCTTTTATTTAGTATTAATGAATTGTTTTCTTATTAGGATTTAGTTCTTTGGGAGGCATTTGATTTTGTTGGTTTGGAGAGTTTGATTCTGGTTCTGCTGATATGGAGTTTGATTCTGGTTCTGCTGATATGGAGTTTGATTCTGGTTTTGCTGATATGGAGTTTGATTCTGGTTTTGCTGATATGGAGTTTGATTCGGGTTTTGCTGATATGGAGTTTGATTCGGGTTTTGCTGTAGATTTTTATTCTTTGAGTATTGTTCCAAGTTCATTCATGACTGAGTTGTCTTATCAGATTTGAAAGAGTTTATTTGCTGTTGTGCCTTTTGACATTCTTGGTTGGTGATTTTTGGGCAGTTTTTCTTTTAGTAATTTTGGCATATAGAGATGTAGAAAAGGTGTTTTTTTCCCTATTTTTCTTGTTTCTGAAAAAGTGATGTTTGTGGCATATTTTATTTTTGTTATTTCTTTTTCTCTTTTACAGATCTCATTTGCCTTTGAATCAGCAGTATAAATTCATTAAATATTTTGTTAAGCTCTATTTCACTGCCTGAACCAGATTCTAGATGGGGTCTTTTAATTTTTAGTAGTGATGGGATGATTAATTAGAACTGGAATCGAGAATCGGAAATATCAGAACATTTTGGGATATTGAAATTGGCATCAAAGAATTTATAACCTAATTTCAAATTCTCCAAATGATTCTTTGGATATTTTTTATTATTATTTAAAACTTAATTTTCCATTCCTGGTACTAATGATAAAAAAATATAAATATTTACTGATTTTAAACTATCATTAAAACTAAAATCTATAGATCATAACAATATCTAAATATGATGTAAATTTATTTTACTTGTGTAAAAAAAAAAAAAAAAAAAAAAAAATGTGCAAGTTTCTACTCCCAAACTTTCCATGAAGTTCACTAGTTTAAAATCTGTTTCAGTTCAAAGTAAATTCTTTGGTTTTAATTTCTTTTTAAACAGTGTTAATTCACCCATTTAATATAAATTATTGATTTAATAATTATAATCATAGTTATATCATATAAACACAAAATGAATTCACATTGTTATTTAACTGGGCCCTCTTTTAAGATAATTAATTTTTTAATT